AAAATCAAGAGTTGGACACTTAACCAACTAAGCCACCCAGATGCCCCCCCCATTTCATTTTCATTTAATTTATTTCCTTGACAATCGATTTGCAGAAGCCATGCTACACTGAGAGACTGCAAAGTCACAGTCCTGCCATTGAGAACCTCATTTATCTGTCACTGAGGTGGACAGCCTGTGAACAGTGCTATAATACAGGTCTGTCCCTGTTTTGATGGAAGTCTCCAGAAGAATAATACAAATGAAGCCTTGAAGAATGAGTAAAGACAAAAATACATCCGGTAAAAAGGTGTAGAAAAGTGCAATTCATTTCCTTCTTCATTTACTCAACTAAGATTTATTTAGCATCTATGGTGCACCTGGCCCTCTTCTAAGTGATTTGTCTCGGGATGCACAGCTCAGGGATTGTGCTCAAGCCTATCTTACTCCAATTTTCACCATACTGAGACTCCTCCAGAGAGGATCATGACCTTCTGGAAAAGGGCAGGGGTTCTAGGTGGAAGACAGGGGTTAGGTCCAAAGATAAATTTCCCTATAGTCCTCTACTTCAAGCTTACCTCAAGGGTAGACATAGGTACACAGAGAATTTAGGGAACAAGTACAACAAATGTAGAAGCTACCAATCCCTAAGCGCATACCACCTGCCCAGCACTGGGCTACATCACATTTTAAACTCATTCTAACTTTGCTCCTTATGCCAAAATGCAAACTCAGAGAGACTATTAAATACCTTACCCAAGGCCACACAGCCAATAAGTAATAAAGTCCAGTGTCTTTCTGACTCATATTCTGTGTTCTTACCCCAGCACTGGACTTTCCCTAAAGCATGTAACGCGTGGCTGCCTATTTAACTGAAATTCTCAACCCTTCGTAACTTACATTCCACCAATTGCTCTACTTTTATAATTATCATTATTCCTTCTGCTACAAAAATTAGTGACTAGCAAACAGGAATTTTTATGACAATCATATTTCACAACAGAACTACAACTGGGCTTTTCTAGGCTCTTCCAATACGGAAGAGCTAGATGAAATTAACTGCGTGAGCTTTAAGACCTCTCCTACTCTTAAAATGAGATTCCCTGAAAACTCCTAAATAGAGCTGGTAATTAACCTTGTTGAATTTCACTAGTGAGGAACACTTTTGAAATTTCCCCTCCCTACTCTCCCTGCTTTTTTGTTTGTTTTTGTTTTTGTTTTTTACTTGTTTGTTTGTTTTACTGTGCCTTTGTTGAATTCTCCCAATATGCCAGTTGAGGTTAGCAAAGTTGTGCAAGACCTCACATTATCAATCTAGGCTATTCAAAGCATATGCTAGTACTGACTGCTTTGTGGATATTATTCCTCTTGGTTACAATTTATGACAACCAAATAGAGCTTTTGCTACAAACAAAGTTGCAATTACAAATTAAAAAAAGAAAAGTATCTGGGCAACACACAGAGAAAGGCTGTATCTCTGAAATTGACTCTTGGTTTTTGGAAGGCGCAGTGGGGCAGGGAGAGGGGGAGGACAGAGGATTATGCCTCCTGAATTCAGAGATTCCATCCAGAGAGCAGCCCAGCCTCACTTCTGTGGCCGAGAACTTCGACTCCAGCTTCCATCTGGTTTCCATAAGGCAAGGGAACTTGGCGAATGGCTGGCCACGTAACTGTAGCACGTGCACATCCTGACCACGAGTACCAGTAAAAGGAGCCAAAGAGAATGAAGAAATTTCCCTCAGTTCCTCTGCACAGTCTAGGGCAGGAAAAGTTGCTTTCGAGAGAAATAGAGTGCTCTTCCGCCCTGCTGGGCAGGTTCACAAAGAACTAACTGCCGCACTGAATCAAAAATGCCCAGACCTAATGATGGGGTGTTACCAATTATTCTAGAAATGTCAAGTAAATGATTTAATACCACTGCTGCAATTAATTCTATACAGTTTGCACACAGGAAGCGGGATCTAAGGGAAAGAACCTATACGTGTATCCAAATGAATATGACCATTCTGTTAATGTGGAGCCTTGAACAGATTACTTAAACAGCCTGAAAATTATGCAGAGTGTCCTTAACTTATAAGATTTTTACTGATGATTTATATAAAACATCTTGTACACAGGGCATGCTTAATAAATGGTTAATTAATTAAGGTTGAGGTGATGCTTTCTTCTAAGACTTATAATGATTAAAACATGCTTACATGCTTTATGAAAAAGGTACATCTAGCCCAAGGATACTCCATCAATCTTTTTTATTAACACACCTTTGTTGTTTTTAATTTATACAATTTGCAGTGCTTTAATTCAAAGAATCACGGAAAATGCAGTTTGAAAGTCATGTCCAATTCCTTCACCTTACAGATGAAGGCACCAAGGATGTTACTTACAGCAGAAAAAAGGCCAAATGATCCCCAATACAGATAGCAAGTCAGTGGTAGATCCAGGGCCACCCCGTGTCCTGGCTCTCAGTTTTCCTGTTTACTATTCTACTTGATCTCATAAATCTTTCTGAGGCTACAATAATTTCAGTTGTCCCTCATAAAGACGCATTATAAAATTACAGATCTGGGATAGGTTTGAAAAGTTCCTACAGTACTGTTTATAGCAGTGAGGTAGTCTGAATGATGGTTCCCAAAGATGCCTCATCCCTGGATCCACTGAATGTTACCTTCGATTTTTAAAAAAGGGACTCTGCACATGTGATTAAGTTAAAGATCTTGGGAGAGGGAGAGTATTCTGAATCACCCCAGTGGGCCTGATGTAATCACAATAGTCCTCATCATAGGGAGGCTAGAGGAGTCCCGGGGCAGAGGGAAGGCCATGTGATAACAGAAGCAGTAACTGTACTGATGCACTCGGGAGATGGAGGAAGGAAGGGGCCATAAGGCAAGGAATATGGACAGCTTCTCAAAACCGGAAAAGGGAAGGAAAAAGATTTTTCTCTAGGAGGCTGAGAAACTTAACAGAAGACCATGGGGGAGTTACAGAGAGGGAGGGAGGCAAACCATAAGAGACTCTTAAATACTGAGAACAAACTGAGGGTTGATGGGGGGTGAGAGGGAGGGGAAAGTGGGTGATGGGCATTGAGGAGGGCACCTGTTGGGATGAGCACTGGGTGTTGTATGGAAACCAATTTGACAATAAATTATATATATATATGAACTTCCAAAAGGAACCAGCTCCATCAATACCTTGACTGTAGCCCAGTGAAACTGATTTTGAATTTATGGTTTCTAGAACTGCCAGAGAATAAATTTGTGTTGTTGTAAGTCAGTCAGTTTGTGACAATTTGTTACTACAGCAATAAAAAACTAACACAACACATAACACAGTATACAGAAATGTTGGCAGTCAAAATATCCAACAATCAGGAATTAAATAAATAAATTATAGAATACAATGCAGCCTTTTAAAAAGTATTGGTTCATATTTATTGAAATAGGAAAATGTGTATAATTTTAAATAAAAAAGCAGTTTATGACACCACACATAGACTATGACTCCATTTTTAAAGAGAAAATAAGACTGGAGGTATATATTCCAAATTATTTACAGTGATTATCATTGATGGTGGAACTTTTCTATGTACTTTATGTAGTTTTCTGCATTCTGCAAATATGATGCAGCAAATGTGTTAATTTTATAATTAGAAAAACAGATTCTTTTCTTAAAAACACAAGTCTATTTTTCCTTGATCCTTTCATTTTATGAAACAGGAAACATATATGTAAAGCAGACAAGTTGCTGACTCAGAGAAGGGATAGCTAGACCAAAGTTCTCAGTTTAGATCTGGAAGCTTATCCTTAACTTATAAAAGGCATAAGAAGCCCAACTTGACTCATTCCTATGAAAGCTCGTAGAGATGACACACACTTCCTTCTCTGACTTCAATTCCCTTCTACAGACTGTCCTTTAGTAATTAAGAAGAGTTAATAAGTGCTTCCTCCTCTGGACAAGCCATGAAGAGTGCTACAGAGCATAATTACATGGAGCGTTTTGCAGACTTGCGCAGAATCTCCCAGTGTGGATGTCATACCAAAGGATTCCACTCAGAGAAAAACTGAAATGTAAAGAGACTGATATTCTAGACCATTGTGATATTCTCATAAGCCGTGAGATTGAGGTGCTTATTGGTTCTTTACTACTCATTTCTACTCTGCTCTTATGAGTTCTTTGACTCTTCTTGCTTTTTCTCATATCTCTTTCCTCAGAGCATGGGATATTCCTTAATCAATCATCCCTGGATCATGGGATACTCCTTAACCAATCATCTCTGGATCTTTCTTGCTGTTTCCTGTCTAATTCAGTCTGGAACATTCCTGAGTTCCTACAAAACTCCAAAGAGTGTACAGAGTTCTGGGGTTGCAACGGTTAATAAAACAGAGTCCTTGCCTTCAACTCACTTCCAATCTGGTGGCACAGCTAAGCACATGCAAAAGAAGTAAATCTCTTATACGGAAAGTTAATACTAGAGACTGTCAGGTTCAGGCAGCACAAAGGAGAGATTAGAGCTCAGTGTAATTCCAATAGAAGACGAATGATTTCACAGAGGGGACCTCTGCTATTCATTTATTTGTCTCTTTGCTCTGCGATTCGTTCCTCACTCTCTTCCCTGCTCTGCATTTTATCAACGGAGGGTTGATCCCTGAAAACTACATTTCCCAGGCTCCTTTGCCAACTAGCTAGATTCGGTCAGTGAGAGACTCAGGCAGGAGACTGGAGGAAGGCAGAAGGCCAAGTATTTCTGTGTCTCTCTATGCTTTAGGTAGCATCAATGGCTGTGGCTGAATCTCTGTCATGCTTCAGCATCCACTGGATGGCCCCCACTCCTTATCTCTAGGACCACCCCTTCTGCTGTTCCTCCAGCCCTGGCAATAGCAGTGCAGCAGCTTCCCGTGGTGGCTCATCTCTTAATTGTCTCGCCATCCTCTGTTGGGTTTTTCAGCTCTGCCAGCAGGTTTTTGACTCATTCCCCAGGTTAAATATCCTGCATTTAACTACCAGCTGTGGTTTCTGTTTTACAGACTGGGCACTCAGGAGTTGAAGAGCCAGAAGATTCTTTATAGGTAAAAAAAAAAAAATTAATAAATTAATAAATTAAAAAATGAAGAAATTAATGAATAAATAATCAATCTAGGTAGAGATGACAGCATGGCCACAGTCCAAAGTGGAAAAAAAGTGACCAGGGCAATCAATGGAGCTGTGTCTCAGAAGTCATTAGGGAATATACTGGAGAGTTGATTGGCAATCTAGGGAGAATCAGATCACAGAGGCCCTTGAGTTCACAAATTGAGGAATATGGATTTTACTCCACATTTTTGGACAATTGTTGAAGATGCTGAACACAGTAGGATGACCAGACTTATTCTTTAGGAAGTTCAACCTGTAAGTGGCAGGAGATTCAACTAAGCAATGTTAAGGAGAGCCCAATGCAGGGCAATAGCAGTGCAAACAGCAAGGAGAGGGTGCATTTGAGCAGAGCCCGTTTAATTTGGCAAAAGGAAAGGGAAGTGTTAGGGGTGTCTGGGAAATGATGAGCGTGAGTGACTGAGTGGCCATACCAGTGACCAGGAGGAAACTGCAGAGGTGAGCCTGATCTGTGCTAATATGACAGGAAAAGCACTGCTTTGAAAACATGGACTTGATACTCACAGTAGAGATACCTCTGGGAGAATTTTTTTTTAAACCCCTTTTGGTGTAGGCACCATGGGGTGGTACAGAGTACATAGATTTGGAATGAGGCTTTGTGATTTTTCTTTTTTAAGTAAACTACCCACAAAGCGGGGCTTGAACTTATGACTCCAAGATCAAGAGTCACATGCTTTACTGCCTGGTCCAGAATACCCCCGGAGGAGATTATTTTAAAAGGCATTCTCACTCACTGACAAATCAGTTTGCGGGAATGAAGGAAATATTTAGAAGATTTATGTTGACAAGAAGCACTCACCTTGATTAAATTAATGTAATTTTTAATGTTGTTATTTAATTATTAATGATAAATTCATAAGAAGATGCCATTTTCATGCCACAATGACTGTTCTGTTAACTTATTTTTATTAGTATTACAGGTAAAATACAAACTGCTTTCATGACCTATATTTTAAATACTAGAATGAAATCATCAGTTTTTAGTGATGATAAAAAGGAAGCTCAGCTGATCTTTTCCCTAAAGGTGACAGGGCTTTTGTCCCCTTCCTGTATTCCAGACCAATAATAGCTTATGGGTCAAAATAATTAGCTTATATGTACATGTGTGTACTCTTCTAACTTCTTCATTTGTCTTTCCAAACCCAGAGAATGTCTACTACATAAACAACTTCCAAATGTCATTATATGAGTAATCACTCTAATTAGAAATTAAGTGCCAATAATTTGCCCTATTAAAAACTTAGCTTTTAAAAAAGGAATGATTTATTTCCCTATTATGCCACTTGAATATTATCCTAAAACCAAAGAACTATTTTTTTTTTTTAAGATTTGTCAAAATCAGAGTACTTTAAAAACAAACTCCCATCTAGTAATACGACTTTGTTTATGTGATTTGGGGTCCCGATGAGTCCATTTGTTCCAAAATTTGCAGGTGCTTTATGAAAATGACTGCCTGAACAATGTGCATTTTGGAGCTACAAGGAGCCATTGAGATCTTGTATTCAATTTTACAGAGGAATAAACTGAGACTATAGGAAGTTAAATAAAGTGCCTAAAATGTCAGTTAGTCACGGAGGCCAGCCATATTCCTATCCGACATTCTTGCTATCACCATCACATGGGCCTCTCAGCTTCTAGCACTATGGCCACCTTTGGTACCACCCTGTATGAAACCAGAGCCTGCTGCTTGACCCAGGGGAGGGAGCCTCCCAGATCCATCAGAGTTCCTGCCTCTGATGACAGGTAGGCGTCAGAGCAGAACAAAGTCACTCAAGCTTCACCTTTGGGGAATACGGGTTTTATTAACTTCACACACTCACTCCTCTGGCTGTACAGCTGCAGCTTTCTGAATACAGTCCATCAGTCTCCAATGGGTCCTCCTGCCAGTGCCACATCTAACAGCAGCAGACCCAGGATGACTCTGACCGCCTCTCTGGTGCAAATATAATGGATTTATGTCTCAACACACACACACCACAGAACACTGAAGGGAGATTCTGGCTTGGGACAGAGTCAGGCACATGCTTGCAAACAGAGCAGGATGGGTGTGAATTATTCATTGCTCCCCTCCCTATGGACCCAGGACCACTCCCTTCATAGAAGTTCTTTTTTACAGGTTGCTGTACATCCTCCAAAATTCTAGAGCTGTCTCTAAACACAGTTACCAGTCTACTTTCTTTTTCCAAAACCCTCTTTCAGGAGAGCTTCTGTATTTCACCTCTATGACGTGTTAGGGTCTAAAGACAGGTAAATGGCCATTTTTTTCTGTGTTTCCTCTCATAGGAGACATGACTCTCTTTTATTCTCAGTAATCCAGGGGTCTGGCTTAACAGTAACCACACATAATCTGCCTGAAACTTCCTGCTGCTATGGGAGACAGGAGAAAATAGATCTGTTATTGGATCAGTTCAGATGCTCAGGTCCTCATAGGGTGTTAGGAACTAAATTGTGTCCCCAACCCCAAATTCACATGTTGAAGCTTCCATACCTTAGAGTGTTACTATATTTGGAGACAGGGTCTTTATAGAGATAATTAAGGTTAAATGAGGTCATGAGGCTAGGGTCTTAATCTAATATGACTAGCATCCTTAAAAAAGGAGGGAACGATGCCAGGGATGTGCACACAGAGAATAAGCCATGCAAGGAATAAAGAGAAGGCAGCTGTCTGCACACCACGGAGAGAGGCCTCAGGAGAACCCAAACCCGCCAAACTTTGATCTTACACTTCTAGCCTCCAGAACTGTGAGAAAATTAATTTCTGTTGTTTAAGCCACCTGGTCTGTGGTATTTTCTTATGGTATCCCTAAAAAACCCATCCATAGGGTGATGTAGAAAGCAACACGGATCTTGATTTTGATCATAAAACCTAGCACCCAAAGGGTGCAAGAGGCTTTGTGCTTTTTGTCATGGGACATGATCAAATCTGACCAGTTTCCCTGTGGATGAAGCACAAGCCAAGGTATTCAATCTCACAAGCAATGGAAAGGAAGAATGGCGACCTTGCAGCCAGGTGGATTTCTTTTTGGCAGGCATGGAGCAGAGTCATATGTCATGGAGCTGGGTCACATTTCAGAGAGCAACCTATATCCAAAGACTATCTTGCCCGAGAAAATATCTGTCCTATCAAATATCCTTTAGTCTATACGTTATAGTCCTGGCATATATTGTAAGAGCTCATTAGTTCAAACCTTCCAGTTACTTGAGTTTTGTGAAAAAAGTTATACTAAAGTTTATCTTTATACAAAGTACAAATGAGGTGATGAAGAAATCAATCGATCAACTTCAAGGAAGTGGTATATTTACTTAGAGCGGCTTCAAGAACCTTAGAAGTATGCATCTTCATGTAAATAATGATTGTACCAAAGCGTGAGGTGTTCATCTCTCATCATAGTCCAGCTCCCTCCCTTTCTCTCTCACCCTAAAGAGCGGTTCTTAACCCCTGCTCACTTTGAAAGTTGATTTAGAGAAATTAGGAAGATGAATGAGAATACCAGAACCTACAGGAAGGACAGGATAGGATCAGTATGATTTATTACACATCTGCAAACATAGTCAAAATATCTACTACATAGTAGGTACTCCCTAAGTGTCCTTCCCAATCTCCTTTCCCACTTAATCTAAAAGTAAGCTTTACAACAGTGATTAATGTTGGCACTGAAGGATCATGGAAGTTCATAAATTATACAGCTGAAATGAAATTAGAGACTATCAACTCCAATTCCTTTATGCTAAGTAAGATGTAGAAACTGAGGCCAACAGAGGTTAAGTGATTTCTTCAAGTTCATTCACTCATCAATGAATACCTGTTGTGTGGCAAGCATTGGGCTGGCTACAGAGTTGGTTGTTGACAAAATCAGGACCAGGATCCAGGACCTTTGACCTTGAGCTCCTTCCACCCCTAATCCCAGTGCTGCCCCTGAATTAGTTTTGTTTCAGAAATCACCATGTGATCTCAAGCATATCTTGCCACCTTTGCCCATTATTTAGGGATAATTCTTATTCCTTAAATGAGGTAAAAGAAGATACATAAAATAAATCCTAAATTGTGACAGGATTACACTCAGAGAAAAGAAGAAAAACATCTACAAATGCCCCTTTGGGTGTTTGAGAATGCCTGACAGGTTTCAGTGACACTCTACTTTGAGTAGAACCACGGCACAGATGGAACTGAATGCAAAAGGGCCATCGAGAGGGTGTGGACTAGGTCAGCAGGAGGGATTCTGTGAGAGCAGTTGTACCAAGTGTGGAGGTAGACATGGGAGGTTGGGAACAAACTGAGATTATTGCTGAAGAATGACTCAAACTGCAGAGACAGAAAGGAGTGGTGTTCTAGGCAGAGGAAGCAGAACAAACACATGTGCATGGGAACATCTGTTCAATGTGGAATCTGAAAAGGCTTTAAAAAGTAGAAAGTAGGATACAAAAACATGTCATTATTAATAGCTTATAATCCTCCTGTCTAAGAATTTATGTAAATAGGCTATTTTCAGCCTGATTCATTTTTCTTGTAAACTGGCTTCTTCAAGCTCCAAGAGTGCCTTGAATGCAAACACAACAACTTTGTTGAAAAAGTCAGTATTTACCCTTTTATGTGCTTTCTAATTTCAACTTCGTCATTCAGCTAATATTTTAGCAGGGCCTCTAAACTGGCCATAAGGAAGCTTGAGATGCTTCCCAGGCCTGTGAATGAACCAAACATAGCATTGTACCTGCTATGCTCACAAACTGAGCTTAGTTTACTAGTGCCAAAGTTTTTTAAAAGTGAGAGTGGTAAATTTCTCCAGAAGAAAATGTATGCGATCCAAGTAGCAGCAACACACACACACACACACAAACACACACACACACACACACACACACACACACACACACACACAGCTTCCCATCTGTTTAATACTTTGGAATCTGAGACTCAAAAAATGTCTATTTTGTATAGTGTCCTGGAAACATTTTAAAAAGAAGAAAAATCTCAGTTCATAAGGAGATACTTCAACTTTCTCATGGTTATTATTAAAAAACAAATCTTGCCTCTGGCCTATGATAGAATATCTGGTATCAGACTAGTTCTCCTACTATAAACCTTAAAACTAGAAACAAATCATTAGGAAGTGAAATTTAAAAATAGTATTTGCAATAACATCATAAACACAAAATTCTTAGAAATAAATTAATGAAAGATGGGAAAGATGGCCTTTAAAAACTAAATAAATGCATAGGTATACTATGTCTATGGATCAGAAAACTCAATATTGTTAATACGTCCATCCTATACAAATTAACCCATAGACTTAATGCAATCTCAACCAAATTTCTAGAAGACAAGATGATTCAAAAAATTTTATGTAAATACAAAGTGGCAAGAATGCAAAGACAGTATTAAAAAGGAACAAAGACTGGGCGAATTACACCACCTAATGCAAAGATTTATTACAAACTTCAATAAGCAAGACATCATCCTGTTGGCTAAAAACACAGATATAAATCAACAAGAAGGACTAGACAGTCCAGATATAAACTAGACAGGCCAACTGATTTTTGAAAAATGCACCAACATAATTTAATGGGAAAGGAGAATCTTTTCAACATAGGCTTCTGAAATAGGTGGACCTCCACATGCCAAAATGCGCGCACACACACACACACACACACACACACACACACAACACCAGAATCTCAGCTCCTGTTTCATGCCATACACAAATTTAATTTAAAATAAATCACAGACATAAAAAGGTAAAATTATAAAAATTTGAGAAGAAAATGTAAGACAAAATCTTTATAACCTTTGTGTAGGCAAAGATTTCTTAAACAAGACACTACAAGTACACACCATAGAGGAATAAAAAAGTGATAAATCTATCTTCATCAAAAGTAAAATAGTCTGCTCTTCAAAAGATAGTTAGGAAATTGAAAATGTAAGCCACTGACAGGAAAAAAATATTCACAATGCAGACGTATGACAAAGTACTAGACTATAAAAACTCTGCCAACTCAATAAGAAAAAAAATAAAATAAACCAAAAAATGCACGAAAGATTTAAATAGACACTTGATAAAAGAAGATATTCAACTAGTCATAAGTGCATGAAAATATAGTAAACATCTTTAATCATCATGCAAATACAAGAATGGCTAGAATTAAAAGACCAAAAATACCAAGTGTTGACAAGGACTGGGGGGCAACTCATACAGTGTTATGGATGGTAAAATGGCGCAACCACTCTGTGGTTTCCTCTAAAGTGAATCATACACTTAGCATACTACTCAATGATTTTAATCATAGCATTTGCCTGAAAGAAATGAAAATGTATATTCACAAAAAGATTTTATGTGAATATTTAAAGCGGCCTTATTCATAATAGCTCCAAACTAGAAATAATACAAATTTTCATCAGTTGGTGAACAGATAACTGAACTATTGTATATTCAAACAATGGAATACTACTCAACAATAAAAAGGAATTAACTACAGATAGACGCAACTACAGATAGATGAATGAATCTACAACATTCTGCTGAGTGAAAGAAACCAAACACAAAACAGTATATCCAAAATGACTCTAATTATATTAATTCCTTGATCATGCAAAACTAATTAATGGTGATGGAAATCAGATAAATGTTTGCATGAGGCAAAGATTATTGGCGGGGAGGGGGGTGCGGGGATGAAATGCAAAGGGCCAAGAGAGAAGTTTCTGGAGTGATAGAAATGTCCTACATAATATTGAATTGGTGGTTACTCTTGTGTATACATTTGTCAAACTCATCAAAGTATCCACTTGAAATGTCAATTATTCTGGAAGAAATTTGATTTAAAAAATAAAAATTATAGGAGCGCCTGGGTGGCTCAGTCAGTTAAGCATCTGACTCTTGATTTTGGCTCAGATCATGATCTCACAGTTCTTGAGTATGAGCTTCATGCCGGGCTCTGTGCTGACAGTGTGGAGCCTGCTTGGGATTCTCTCTCTCCCTCTTTCTCCGCCCCTCCCCCACTTCCATGAAAACACACACTCTCTCTCAAAACAAATAAGTAAACATTAAAAAAATAAAGATCATAAGATAAACAGAAACTTGCACAGTACAGTTTACAAAGGCATTTCATTTTTGGGTTGAACTTCTTAATCCCTATCACCACCTTGTGAAGTAAACATACTACAAGCTTCTCTTGTGAAAAAATTACAAAATCACAGTCTGTTTATGAGCTACAGTGTCTCACTTGAGCATAGGTTTTATCCCAACACCCCCTGGAAGAGTGAGATGAACACCCCCACTGCCCCACTCACACAAATTATAAAAGTTGTTTCGGATGGAGCATCACCTAGATTTTCAGGGAGGGAGAGGGAGTGCTTATAATAATAATGGCTATATTGATTTATTATTTACTTATCAGGTCCTGTCGTGTGCCAGACATTGTGGCAAGCTCTGGTCAAGCAATTCTGAAAACAGTTCTGGGAAGCAGGTATTATTATGCTCTCTATTCACAGATGAGGACGATGAGCCTCAGTGAAGTTAAGGGACTTTCCCAAGTTCACACAGCTAGTAAATGGCAGAGCTGGGGACACAGATCTGATGGACTCAAAGGTGCAGCTCTTCCCATACACAGCACCACACTGGCTCCATGTTTAAGCTAAATGGAGCAGTTTCTTTTTGGCAACTAAATTTACCCAAGGGAGCTGGCAGGGAGTTGTCCTTTGGAGATTAAGCTAAGGTCAAATGAACTTCAGGATTGAGATGATGTGTTCCATACCTGAAGGATCCTGTGAGTGCCAATGCTTCTCTTAACCTAGTGGACACTGAGCTCCAAAGGAAAGAGGGGTGTCACTGTGAGGGAACCTGTGCTGATCACCTCAATGGTTGAATATTGATATGAAAAAGCAGGGGAGACTTGAGCGTGATCATGCAGGCAGTACTTGCTGGTGTGAGATGATGTTTTTGGTTAGAGACCTGGAATCACAGAGTCCTAGATGCAAAGTATTGTGGCATGAAGTTTTCATGCTGACTAATAGCTTATGTAGACCCATTTTTCTTTTAAAGAAGAAAAATGAAAGAGGCATCAAAACATAATGGGTTGTTATTATATATTTGGGGTTAAGTGCCAAATCTAACACTTGGTAAAAAATGAATTTAAAGCTAGAGAATAGTGGGTTAAGATCCTGACTCTGTACTTGCACTGTGCAATCTTGGGTGGGTTACTTCTCTGAGCCTCCCTCACCTCGGCTGGCAGATGTGATAATGGCACGTATTTCGTGGCACTGATGATAAGGCAGATATTTGTCAGTGCCTGGCACTATGTAATTGCTTGACTCCTCCTTTGAGTAGCCCATCTGGAACCTTAGGCTTCAACTTTGTTGTGAATCTCTAAACTTCAGTCCTGGCTGTACGAACTTGCCTGGAAACCCATCTATGTCCAGGGAATGGAATCTGCTAGCAGATTCTTCTCAGCTCCTTCCATCTCTCTCTTCCGGGGTCCTGCTTTCTTCCTGCACCCCAGGCTTAATACTATCCACTCCTTGCTTCTGGGCCTGCTGAGTCTGCCCAGCTGCCCAGCTGCCCAGAGACCTCAACTCTCTGTCATCAACCTGCCCATGTTCCCTGTAGCTGGCTCAGATGAGAGGGGCAGGTCTGTTCTGATAAAAACTCAGTCACAAAGCCTCCAGGCCTTTCTGCTGAATTCTTTCCTAACTGGACTTTTAAAAAGGCAAACCTGACCATGTTATGCTCTTGATTAAAGTCTGCTTCATTTTTCCTCAAGACAAAGTCCAAAATCCCTAGCACGGCCTGCAAAATGCCACAGAATACAATTTATAGCAACCTACCTTCCACTGTCTCCCATCTGCACCTCCACCTGCCCCAACCAGCCCTCCTCTACCTTCCAACCAGATTGAACTACCTACACTTCCCAAATGGGCTATACTCCTTCTTACCTCAGGGACTTTGCATATCCTATTTCTATTTCCTCCAATTCTTGTCTCCCATTTCCTTCAAAGTTCATCTTTTCTATTCTTCGTGAATCAGTTTAGCCATCACTTGGAAAATTGTCTCTGATTGCCAGGGCTATTCAGGACCCATCTTGTCTGCATCCCTGAATCTGAAAGCTTCCATTACAGGCCTGATTACTGATTAGCCATTAATTGGCTTTCTTATGTCTTTTCTCAAAGAAGGTGAGTACTTGGAGAGTGAGACTACATTTGCATTGCTGTGCCTCCAGTATCTACCAGGGTGTCTGGCATCTAAGGGGCACTCAGGGAGCATTTGTAGAACAAATACATGAAAAGAACGACAGCAAGTCAGGAATGATGAGTGACAACTGCATACCTTTGAAGGAGGCTAAGGGCCCTGGAAAAGATAGCCCTTAGAGGAAAGAAAGCAACAGTCAGAATTTCAGCAATAAGCTTTCTGTGAGATTTCCCAAAGGATCCCAGCAAATGGGGCCGACTGCAGTCCAAGACCACTGGACCACCCTGGAAAAGCAAAGCCTTCTCAGAGTTGTGTGGGAACCCCTTCCACCTACATTGTGCTCTCAGCCCACTCAGTCTGGAAATGGAGTGTCACATATTTTGGTCGGTGCTGTGTGCTGGCCTGCTCCAAAGTTGAAGAGAAAGGCATTCTCTAGGCACAAAGAATGCACCCAGACCCACTGATTAGGAATGCATTTTTAAACCAAAAAGTTTGGGAAGAGTTAAGCAGCCTGGAAGCTTTTAGAGATCTTTGGCAAATGGGACTCAGCACAAAGACCTCCCAGGATGTAGAACTTGTCCCAGACAGGAATCAAAGCTGTCCCAGATCTGCTAACGATTTCTAGGGGCTTAAATAATTACCAAAGATCTATTTGTAGCAGGTCCCCAAGGTGGATCCTAAGACTCCTAAGATCTGCTCTCATATAAGACCTGCAAATGCAGGCTTCTTTGACCCAGCAGATGGGCAAATTTTGAGAAATATAGGCTGAGTTGAGATGATCACAGGATCCTTGAGATACACTTGTATAGAAAGACTTCAAACCCATTTCTGGCCTGGTCATTATATGGATGCATCACTGGTGACAGTCTCCTACAAATTCTATTTCTTCATCTTGAAAATGCAGACCCACTGAGACTATGTTCCCAGAGGACCACAAATCAGTGCAGTGGACTTGACAGTGAACTGATACTGCACAGCAGTTGACATTCTCTGGGGTCTGAATGCCTGGATTCAACCTTGGCTCTATCACTCGTGTGACTACGAGCCTCACTTTCTACATCTGTAAAATGGGAATAACGAGAGGATGTGTAATAGTAAAGATACAGTAGAATTCAAATTTAGTGTAGAATCCTTGCAAGCTCCTGGCACACAGTACAATCAGTGAGTTTTAAGTACCATTAGTGAAGTGGGAGTCTCCTTAACAATCTGGGTGCAGAGTAGCCACAGGACTGACCACAACACAATCTTTGCTCAAGTGGCTCACCTCATAACACTACAAAACAACTCCATAGCCTCAGCTATAAGATGGTCACTGACTTGGGTTTGTTCTCTGTGTTAATCAGCATATATTTACCAAAATTATGTGCCCACCTAATGCCTGGCTCTGAGGCTACAAAGATGAAGAAGGAATGGTCCCTGCTTAATCCAGTTTTGTTAAATTCTCTGATGGGTGGGAGAGTCAGATCCAAATAGATGTCATGGAAGAATAATATCTGTCTCATTACAGTGTGATAAGTTAAGTGAAAGAGGGAGGCAGGGTTGCTGTGGATGCACAGAGCAAGGGCCGAGGGTGTGTGGAAGTCTTCCTAAAGGGCAGAGATTTGGGGGAGACACAAAAGAATGAATAGGCAGAGATCACCAGCTGAAGAAGGCAAAGGAAGCAGGTTCAAAGCAGTAAGTCCAGCCAGTGCAAGGGCCCAGAGATGCCACGCACTTTGGAAACTATTGGAATGACTTGGAGATATGGGAGTAATTCACCTCAGCTAGAGGCCAGGATATGAAGGTAGTGATGAAGCTGGAGCTTGATGTAAGTAGAAGAGATCTCAGGGAGATCCCATGAGCTGAATTTGGGTTTCTCAACCTCGCCACTACCACCATTTTGGGGCAGGATGGTTGTTTGTTGTGGGGCTGTCCATGCATTGTAGGATACTTAATAGTATCCCTAGCCTCCACCCTCCAGATGCCAGCAGCATGTACACATCCCCTTCCCCACTCTGATGACCAAAATCATCTCTAGACATTGTCAAATGTCCCTCAAGGGGCAAAATCTCCTAGTTGAGAACCAGTGGACTAAATTAAGGACTTCGCACTTTGTGCTGGGTTAGAGGTTCCTAAGGTAAGGCGATATGGCCAAATATGCATTAAATTTCGATTGTTTGGGATTAGAAAGAGGACAAAGACAAATAGCAATGTGGCTATTGCAACCATCTAAGAAAGGCATTATAAGTGACAGCAGAAATGCTAAAGAAGGGATGTTCTCTACACAGAGATATAAACATAGATGTATAGAAAGTTTATACATCTCTCTCTATATATTCTTTATACAGAGATATACATATATACTAAACATATAATAATATATACTAATATTATATATATATAGCATATGTAATGCTAATTATATATTAAGATGTATAACATATAATACACACACACACTCATTGACTCTATAGGAAAATTGAGGGAGGTTAAGAGAGAAGGGGGTGATGAGTCTTTACCTCCTATCCAAGGACAAATATGAAAACTTTGTTTGAATTGTTTATAATCCTCCAGAAAAATTATGAATGGCACCATTACACTTTAAAATTAATAACACAATTTCACAGACACATTAGCTCGTGAAATTCACACAACAGTCTCCCAGATTGGGCTTTGTAATCTGAATACTACATGTGAAGAAACTGCTACCTAGAGAGTTAGGGATTTAGCCAGAGTCACACAGCCAGTTGACTGTGGAGTGTGGACTCACTTGAATCTAATCCCGTTCTCTTCCCCGCCCCCCCAACCACGTCACAAAAGATGTTTCGTAACATCTGGCTTATAATATTCTAACCCATTGCAATCAGTTTGATCTGGGGCATTTTAAAACTAATTCCATCTAGTTTTTCAAACAATACATTTCCAAGCAGACGATCTCATGAAAATACATAGAGAAGAGAACCACAAAAAGTTCTGGAAAGTTTTGTATGCCTTTTTCTTTTTCTTTTTAATTTTTTGGTATGTGCTTTCTTTCTTTTTTTCCCTCTTTCTTATGGTGTTAATTAAGGATGCACTGTCCCTGTTTTACTCAGTTCTGGCTCTTATAACGAGAGCTCATCAGCCCTAGCTAAAGTACTCATCCCATACCCACCATGCTTTCTCCCCCAGTAACTCCCCAGGTTTCTGTGAATTTGATGCCTAGAGTCCATGTGTCACAACCAGGCCATTGAGGGGCAGAGAGAATGAAGCCCTGCACTTAATTTGTTTGATTTGCTCTGTTGCTGACAAATCTTTCTGCTTTAT